ATAGTTTACTACCCTCCCCCATGTAAAATATTTTACATGGTACAGTGTAAAATGTTATTAAAAAGTGCCCTACAATTTTCATCAAATAATTAAAACAAACGGTGTAAAATGTTTGTTTCCTTATACTTCACATGCAAAGTATTTACTTTACATCATACCAAACGGGCCCTCTAAGTATTGTGAAGTTGACATTGCAGTCCTTTTACTTTGATTTTATCATAAAAAATGAAGGTCTAAAAATGTCAATGACCGTGTTTGATAATATTAGTTGTTCGTTAGCTTTTTTAATTAACTGCTTTCATTAGCGATTTGAAATAAAATGTTAGTAATTTAAAAAATGCAATTAGTTTTTCACATTAAAATGGCCATTAAAAATTTAATTTAAAATTTTATATTATTTAAATTAATTTTATTTCTTTTTATTTTTAATAAGTTTTGATTTTTTTTAAAAGTTATCTTTACGTTTATTTTAAATAATTATTCATTTTTAAGATATGTACATTAATGCGAGCACACACATATAAATTCATATATTTTTAGTAATAATATTTTTAATATGACTATTTATTAGTTTTTTAAAGTCTACTCCATTTAAAAATTCTACTCCAGAATTCTACTCCATATGACTATTTATTATTATTTTTAAAGTACTCTATGATTATTTAAAATAAATGTAAATATAATTTTTAAAACCTTTTCAAAGACTTAATAAAAATAAAATAAATAAATTTAAGATAAAATATATACTTTTAAATTCATATCTTTAATGGTCATTTTACATCTTAACATTTAATCACAAACAATTAAGTTACAAACATTTTATTTCAAAAACTAATGAAAGCGGTTAGACATAAAAGCTAACAGAATTCGTTATTATCGATATGCTGATTCAACTGGCTATTAGCTACCAGACAAATGCTATTATCAAACACGGCCGTTGATATTTTTTAGACTTCCATTTTTATGACAAAATCAAAGTAAAATGACTGAAAATGTCAATTTCACAATATTTTTAATCAAATAAATAAATTTAAGATAAAATAAATACTTTTAAATTCATATCTTTAATGGTCATTTTACATCTTAACATTTAATCACAAACAATTAAGTTACAAACATTTTATTTCAAAAACTAATGAAAGCGGTTAGACATAAAAGCTAACAGAATTCGTTATTATCGATATGCTGATTCAACCGGCTATTAGCTACCAGACAAATGCTATTATCAAACACGGCCGTTGATATTTTTTAGACTTCCATTTTTATGACAAAATCAAATTAAAAAGACTGAAAATGTCAATTTCACAATACTTAGAATATGAAAGGTCGGAATTCTAAAGTCGGGGATTGAAAGTTTATCACTCGCAAAAAATTGACCAATTTGTCACTAGGTCGTCTTTTTTTTTTACCAATTTGTCTCAATTGGTTTTTTTTTTTTTACCAATTTGTCCAATGACCCTCTATTTTTACCAATCTTGTAATTTGGGCGAGAACTAGACAATGGTTGTATTTCAAATGGGGCTCTTACAAAAACATTACTAAAATAAAAATTATTTACACAAATATGACTAATAATTGATATGATGTACTGTTATAGTAACTTAAATTATAAATTGAATATAAATTATTATGATTTCATTAATACTATTGTCTCTAGTCACATTTTTATAAACAATATTTATTTTAATCATAAATATGTAATTATTTCTTTTCAAATTAGGTCACATACAATTCAGGTTTATTTGTAAAATATATTTGAAAAATTCATAAACCACACATATAATTATTATATCGATGCACAACTATTATCTTTGTGGGAATTTTCTATTTCAAAATTCATATTCATTCAGACACACAATTAAAATTGGGCACAAAGACAACTATTGTTTGCACGCATAAGCAATAGTCAAGTGGAGAATGGCAATTGAATCAATTTAGAAGACCTAAAAGGAAACTCACTACTGAGGGTTACATATATGTCAAAGAATTGTCAAACATCTTTTGGGCTCTGTTTAATATACAATGGTCCTCGTAACTCATTACGAGTAAAAATTTATAACTTCTGGAAAATCAGCACTATCTAAACGCAAAATCAACAAAATTTGATGCTTAATATGGATTATTTTCCCAAATTTTAAAAACATCATATAATTAAATCATTACTTACGTGACATGATACATAAACAGAGCAAAGATAATCTACATATCAAACATTCAAATCGGACATTGTCTAACAACGATCCATCATTTTCATTTTGTATATAGTTGATTTTCAATCCCTCGACTGTTTTTGTGGCTCCGCCACCGGATATTGCCTAATATTTCATTTTAAATTGTACGCACCATCTCTTTGTATAATATAAAGGGTAGTCCTGGACTCGGTTCGGGCCACCCGGCCCGGGAACCGGCCCGGCCCGCTAATGTGCGGGATTGGCCCGACCCGACCCAGTGCTGCGGGCCCCAAACCGGTCTAAGGCCCGGTCAGCTAGGAAAAGCGGGGCGGGCTCGGATCAGTGAAAAGAAGGCCCGGCCTGGGCCCGGTTCGGGCCAAATTGATTTTTTTTTTCATTTTTTTGGGTTCCACCCGGGTTGGGCTTGATGTTTAGGAGGGGTTTGGGGGGTGGGGGTGAGGGGGGGGGGGGGGGTCAAGGATACTTAGGAAAGCAAAACAAAAAAACGAGGCCCGGTCCAGCCCGGACCCGGTAGGTACCCGGGTCTGTCCCGGGCCCAACTATTCAGAACCGGCGGCCCGCCCGGGCCTAGGCCCGGACCCGACCCGGCCCGAATCCAGCCCTAATAAAGGGTGTTACACATCTTTTAAAAGAGATAATTATCCTAGATATGACTAAAACTCCATGACTTTCTCAATCTATGACCTAATGAGTTTTTTCCCCAAAATAAAATTAAAATTCGTTATATTTAATTAATATATTAATAAACAATTCAATAAATGTTTTTTGTGGACTAATATGCCCTTGGATAATTATTATAAAATCCTAACATCATATCCTACTCTTCTCAACCCTAGTTCTAGCCCAGCCGCCTACCTGCGTAGGATTTCTAGCACTACGCCCAAGTCTCACATGGTTCTGCTGTCTAGCCGTCTGCCATAGCCGCGCCGCCCAGCCGTCTACCATAGTCGCTCCGCCCATCCGTCTGCCATAGCCGTGCCGCCCAGCCGCCCAGCCGCCTACCAAGCCCATAGTCGCCCAGCCTCTTTCTCATCTTCATTCATGGTGATCTTCACGGATTTGGGTCAATTTCTCATGTCCGCAACAGATAGATCGGGCTCGAAGAAGAAGGAGGAGGAGGAGGAGGAGGAGGAGGAGGAGGAGGAGGAGGCTAGAGATACAGAGATCCGGCGGTCATGGAGTGGCAGCACCCGGAAGATCCGTTTAAATTTTAGTGTGTGGTTCAAATTGGAAATACTACAGAACCAATTTTATTACTTCCTATCTTTCAAATATTTGCCAAAGGTCCAAGTGCAAAATACATGTATTGCACATTTGCACTACTTTAATTTTCTTTGTGTTTTTAGGAACTTCTAAAATTAGGCTTTGTGGCATTAAATATGGGCAGTGAACGCCATAAATTCATAATAGATATTGTTCAGTATTTTGAGTGAATTCAGGGTTTGTGGGCATTAAACATAGGCATTGAACAATGACCATGAACATGACAATAAGTGTTGAATATGGCAGTGAATGAATGCATTAAACCAGTTTGTTGTGCAGTGAATATGACCAATAGTGCAGTAATGCCGCCATGAAACACAAAATACTTAATTACACGTAAAATAATAAAAAAATATTAAATTTATAAAAATAAAAAATAAAAATTATATATAAATTCGTAAAGTGAATGAGAAAAGAATTAATTTTGACGAAAGTGCAGTGATTACTACTGTATGTGCAGTAAAGTCATGCATTAATTTTGTGCATTAACGACAATATAACGTGCAGTAATTTTAATTGGACGAAATTAGTGCAAAATGCACATATTATAAATAAGAGTATTTTCGTCATTCAACATTTAAATATAAACGAATTTTCTATTTATTTTTGGATTTTTGGTCATACAAAGGTATAAAAACTAATTAGGTCATAGATTGAGAAACTCATTGAGTTTTAGTCATATCCCAGTAAATTTCCCCTTTTAAAAAGATGTCAATCATATACTTCGTGTCTTCGTGCATAACATTCTCACAAGACAACTTCAACCAATTTTAAAAATGATACTCCCTCCGTCCCGCAAAATAGTTCTCGGTTTCCTTTTTGGGCCTTCCTAAAAAATAGTTCCCATTTTTGAAAGTTTTGTGTGGCTCACATTCATTTACTTTTTTCTTACACAACCACAACCATACATTTCCACTTTATTCCCACTTTCTTAAACTCCGATCTAAGTCAATGCGGGAACAATTTTATGGGACGGAGGGAGTACTATATGTCTATATGTAAAGTGTTAGATTTGTTGTCTCAAAAATGAACTAATTATGATATAACTCTTATAAGTTTGATGCAATTTCTGAAATTTGAGAGAATTCCCTATATAGGAGTAAAAACTTTTTGAAATTCCAAAATAGGAGTATCATGTTTTTTATTCCCTAAATAGGAGTAAATTTCTGTCAAGTTTGGCATTACAAGGCTTTAAACATGGCATTTTTTTTTTCAAACTTGGCAGATTACTCCTATTCAGGGAATAAAAAACATGATACTCCTATTTTGGAATTTCAAAACGTTTTTACTCCTATTTAGGGCAATTTCTGAAATTTAAACGATAAAGGAATAAACGAATAGAATCTACTTTTCACAGTTCAACGCACTAAACCGATAGCTAAACACCTAACTAGTTACATTAGTAACATAATCAATCCCACAAGTCACAAGAGTAGACACAAAAGCAACAGTTTTATTTTCAAGGCCAAATCAATTTTTTTTTGAGAAGAGATAGATCAACTGTTATTAATAAAATCAGAGTTTAATACATGCGATAAGAAAATAGGAGGATTCGAAACCCAAATACAACACTCAGACAAAGAACATGCAGCTTGATCTAACTCATGAGCCGGCCTATTCGCAGAGCGTCTAATGTGAGTAAAAGAAATATCAATAAAACTAGTTCCTTTTTCATTCATATCACCCGCTAGCAACCCCACCGTTGATGTGCTAGAACCTTGTTGAATTTCTGAGATAGCACGGGAAGCATCCGATTCCACGTCGACTGCATTCCAGCCTTGCTCGAAAGTCCAACTGAGAGCCTCTCGGATTCCAATTAATTCTGCTTCCAACGGTGACAGTTTCCCTTGCCACGGCATGGACACTCCGGCCACAAAGTCCCCATTCTCATTCCGCAAAATCCAGCCAAGCCCGCATCGATCCACTCTAACCGCTGCGTCCACGTTGAGCTTAAGTCTTCCAGGTTTAGGGCAATTCCACCCCGGACCTTCCTGCAATAATCTGCCCCGTTGCTTACTGGATACTTGATGTGCTTGCTCCCAACCTGAAACAAAGATTTTAGTTTTTTGCAAAATAAAATTGGCTTCCGTATAAACACCCTGCCAAAGTCTCTGGTTTCTTTCACACCAAATGCCCCAACACCCCCATATTAATCTAGACAAATCTTCCTTTCTCTTGGACCGAAACTCTCGCTGCAACTGCCTGGAGAAAGAGCTCTCCATAGGAGTTGACCACTTCCATTGAACAGCCCTCCATGCCTCTTTAGCCTCTGGACAAGAGATAAAAATATGAAACAAAGATTCATCTTCTCCACCACACAACCCGCAGCTCACATTACAATCCACCATTCGAGATTTCAAATTATTCGTTGTCGGTAAGCAACCAACAAAGACCTGCCAAAAAAAGTTCTTAATCTTAGGGGGTAACCTAAAATTCCACATAGAAGACCACCCCGTCCACTCCTCACTAATGATATCCCCGACTAAGCGCCTATAGCAACTCTTTACAGTAACCCCCCCCCCCCCCCCCCGGTTCCCATTTCCAACACACCCTATCGTTTACCGATCAAGAGCTTAAAGGAATACTTTTAATCAAAGCTACATCTCTTGGAATAAAAATATCATTAAGGGTATCCAGATCCCACCCACAGTTCATCATGTTCATCAAGCTGCCAACCACAGCATTCTGTAAGCCCTCCATAGGCCAAATCAGTTTTTTGTTAGTTAATTAATACTCCCTCCGTCCCTTTTTATTTAGCCAAACATTGTTTTTCAAGTCAAAGTTGTTCAACTTTGACCGATTATATATTTATACACGGTAATATTGATAATATAAAAATTATATGAAAATATTCTTTGTTGAATATACTATCATAAAAGTATAAATTTATTAATTTTTACATAAATATATTATTTAAAATAATTGATCAAAATTTATCATATTTGACTGTAAAAGTCAAAGTTGGCTAAATAAAAAGGGACGGAGGTAGTACTTCAATTTTTTTATAGTACCAACTACCAAACATAACGAAGAGACAGTTTCAGTGATAGATGTTCGTTGCTCATTTCCATGGAACTCCAAATAGCATATCACTCGGTAGTCCTGGACTCGGGCCGGGTGGCCCGACCCGGTACCGGCCCGGGAAAGGTACTGTGCTGAACCAGCCCGGCCCGATGGCCCGGCCAGTGACCGGTCCGAGTAGGCCCGGCCTGGGGGGGTCCCAGTGCGGGCTCGGGTCACCCAAAAACCGAGCCGGCCCGGCCAGTTCAGGCCCAGATCCGGGCTTTTTAATTATTATTTTTTTTCATTTTTTTAAAACTTTTCGGGTTGGGCTGGGTATTTTGGGCCATTTGGGATGGTTTGGGGGGTTGGGGGTTAATTAGGAAAAGGGAAAAAAATATTGACCCAAAGCCAACGATGGCTACCCAGGCCTAGGCCCGACTTGGACCTGACCCAATGGCTACACAGGCCGGTCTCGAGCCACCCTATTCAGAACCGGTGGCCCGCCAAGGCCCGAATAGGGGTGGACCGGTTCCGGGCCGGGCACGGTTCAGGCCTTGAACCGGCCGAGTCTCGGTTCAAGGTAGGGGAGGCCCAGAACCGACCCGGGTAACCCCGAGTCCGGATCGGGCCAAGTCAGGCCCAGTTCGGTTCTATATTTTTTTTTTTTTTGGTTTTCCTAATCAACCCCCCACTCTCCCCCTCAACCCCAAACCACCCCAAATGGCCCAAAATACCCAATCCATCCGGCCTGGACCGGGCCCGAACTGGCCGGGCCGGTACACCAAAATGAAGGCCCGAGCCCGGAACCAGTAGCCACCGGGCCAGGTTGACCCGAACCGCCCATAGGCCGGGCCGAGCCGCCCCAAAGAGTGACCAGGCCGGGCCGGTTCCGGTTCGGGCCACCCGGCCTGAGTCCAACCCTAGGCCCAGACCCGACCCGAATCCAGCCCTATCCCTCGGTAAAGAAAAAGTGAATCGGTAATACGGATACGTTGAAAACTTGAAATGAAAAGAAGCCAGGGTCAAGCAAGTCAAAAAGTTAACAAAACCAAACATGATAATGATATATGGATACGTCCAATTGAAAAGCATCAGTTTCTCCACCTTAATCTACTGCAAAACTACATAAACAATATAACGACAGTAGTTCTTTAAAACAATCGCTCCCAACATTTCATTTTTCAAACTCCAAAAACATGTGCTTTATAATCTAAAGTGTCTTCTCCAAGTTCTTAATTATGTGGAAGCCCTCATGGTCTTCACCGTAATCCTGCAATAGCAAGTGATAACATAAATCAATAAAGATTCATTAGAATAGAAACATGCCCAATGGGGTAAATGAATCATGAGAACAAAAAATAAGATTAGGTAGAGATTCAATAAAAAATTTAAAGGAACCATACTATCCACTCACACCACTTTCTCAGTCAAAAGTAAACAGCAAATTATTTTGCAAAAATCCAAACCAAGTAGGAGTTGGACATTTAGATAGTAGTTGACCATTAAAACTTGGCATTTCAATCCTATAATTCCTATTACTACACATATATAGACCTCTACCATAGTACTTGGTATTATAATCAAATTATAAATTTCAAATGAACAGCAGTACGGCCAGTGAAATAGAAACATTCTCCGTAATACGTAAGTCCATTAAATTTGTAAAAGTAAGAATTATTGTGGGCCACAAAAAATGGCCAAATTTGGTACAGGCAATATGATTTGGAGAGGGCAGGATAGAGAAACATGGGGCCTCTGAAGTAATATATTTCAAGATAGGTACCTCCACAACAACACACGAGGATCCAACCACCTTCCTTGCTTTTCCTTCGGAATCTATCTTGCATAACTGCAAACGAATAGCAATATGAATTAGATAAAAAAATCCTCAGCTTAATATTATATGAATTGGAAAAAATGACACAAGTCATTGAATGATGAAACTTGCTCTAATCCAGTAGAACATTGTAATATATAAAAAAAACATAAGTTACTTTCAGAAATTCAGTTCACCATGCCAAAGGATAAAGAAATGAAAAACCTTTTGAACATGTTCATAGATTTTAGTTCTAGTCTTTATATACAGCAACATAAGTAAAAAAATGACTTTGCACAAAATACCTAAAATAAAGGAATTTAGTTTGAACTGAGCATTTATTTTTAGAAGACGGAATAAACACGCTTATAAACCATATGCACGGAACAAATACAGGCATCAACTTTTTCTTTTGAACAAACAAGCACAAACAATATAAAGTTGGTAGAAAAAATACACTTGAACTACATATGATAAACAAATAAAGAAAGGGAGGGTATACATGCTCTTCAATATATAATTCGATGGTATATTTGCATTACAACTAAACACTTTTTGTGTTTCATTATTCTCTAAGTAAATTGACAGGTTAAGTTTGTTCTCTGATAGGAGTATATGGTAAAAGAGTAAATTTCTTGATTATTCCATTATTCTTTTATATTTCTTTCTGATTTCACTTTTATTTTCTGATAATTTCTTTCAAATATTTTTTCCTGGATTCAAAACATAGCCTAAAAACATCTGATATAAGAAAATTATAAATATATGAATTACTTACGCCAGACCACTCCCCAAGAGTTTTAGCAGTGGGCACAGAAATCAATTTCACATTGTTTTCAGCACAGAGTGCTTTCACCAATTTGACATAATCAGGTTGGTCACAATCATCAGCTAAGACACAAAGCTGTGCTTTGTTCTTCCCAATTGCCTTGGAGCATTGGCGGACCCCACGAAGAAGACCACCATGGGCTCTAGACTTCTTTAGTACCAATTGCAATGCAGTCATTAGGTCCATTGGTTCCCCAAGAGCCGCTGGGGCAGCAGCCTCTGGAACTGCAACTGCAACTTCCTCTCTGAAAGTAAACACGAACTAAGAATAATGGGCAGTGTAGGGGATAAAAGATACTACATACATCCCGACTTAAACTTCGCATGAAAAAATGGCACAGTTATTAAGACAAAAATTTAATGTAGTAATTCAATACATTTGGAGAAGTAATTTTGATGGTCATATATAACATAATGAGGTCATTCATGATAATTGTGATCTTATAGGCGTATCATTTCTAATATCAGATGATTAATTTGACATTTAGGAGTGCTAATTGCTTCTTAAAATTGAAATGGGAAGCTTTAGTTAGATTGTCTAAAAAACATGTACTTAGTAAAGGTTAAAATGCAAAACTTAACGGAATGATGAAAATAGGGATTTCATTTTCATGGAGGGAGTACATAGGAAAACACGTACACATGCAAAACTTGATGAATCTTCAATACACCAATCCAAAATATAAAAGATAAAATTTTATTTGGATATCATCCTACTTCTATTCTAGAATATATTGAACTTAGATATGTACATAAGATTAGGCTTATAAAAATTAAACTTGGCATATAATGTCTCCAACATGTACCTCTAAACATAGATAGAGGTATTTAGATCCGAAATTGAACATAAACCAATTCAAGGAACCACACATGAAGCAACCCAATTGAACCATATATTCTAGCAAAACTGACTTACCCAGACATTTCTTCCGGGTAGATGTTATTCTCAAAACTTTAACTGCCTGTTAACAACATTGAATCGTGAACTGTATTACTCGACATGCATATTTCATCAAAACGTCAGTGCAAAAATACTATAGTGTCCTTATCCAGTCATCTGAGAAAAATGAGTGAGAGCATGGTAACAAAAACAAGTGTGAGATTATGATGTTCTTGTTCAAAGAAGAAATAGACATGTGAATGCTGAAGAAGCTGTCATATGTTTCATCTGTACTGTTTCCAGCAAAAACTGTAAATGTAGAGCGACAGTATTGCAGATAAACATTTAACTAATTCAAAATGCATCCTGGTACTACAGAAAAGGTCACATAAGCACGGTTTTGTAAACAAAAAAAAAAACGGAAAACGTACTGCCGAAACACTGTCATGCACAGCTTTATATCAAAACGAATGCTTATCTGAAACGTGAAATTAAGATCTGTAGGATGGTTTTAAATTGTGGTGTTAAAAATAGTACTTAACACTGAATGTGCAGAGTAGTGTTTCAGATTTGGAACGCGCAATTTAGCATGGATATAAAACTCCACTGAAAGATAGAATAAATGCGTTTCGTATTCGGACAATTGAAACGGGACTTGATTGCTCAATTGAAGAAGCGAAGGCTGAAGATGGCGGCATACCTGGCACTGGAAGAAGGGCGAATAGTCGATTGGAGATACGCCTGAGGGACGAAGTGATGCTTATATACGATCTTTCTAGGGTGTATAATAGTTTATAGTAAGTCATTATGGTTGGGCTTCAGTCCATTGAAGAATGTTATGCTCGGCCCAACAGTTATTTTTTAAAAATAATGAATTATATAACCTTTTTTCTTTCTTTCTTTAAAAATTACTTTAAATTGGACTAAAATTATGATAAAAACTCAAAATAGGATTTGTTATGTTTTTATTTCAAACTAGAAGCATATTAGTCCTATAGGAAACATACATTGTTTTCGTTCCATTCTTACCCCTCCTTTAAATATGAGTATAAGATAGTCAAAAGTCATAATTAAATGTTTAATTCATAATAAATTCGAAAAAAATTAAAAAAATCATAGAAAAATAATTAAATAATAATAAAATATTTATAAAATAAAAAATTTAAAAAGATTTTTTAATGTTTTTTTAAATTAATAAAAAATAGTAAAACTCCATAAAAAATTAAAAAACATATGGATGTCTTTCCAGCCGCCTGTACTACCTCCCTGCACCACCACCTCCAACCGGTGTAAACAATGCCATTTTTTCCTAAAAATGCCAAAAAATGGAATATTACTCTTTGAGAATGCTAACATTTTTATTATTTCTGCCATAAATATGGCATTCGTAATGAATTTGTACAATCTTTATATCATTTGTATTTACTGGATTAGCCATTTATGTGGTGGGCCTTTCGGGTCCATATTAGAGGCCCGGCCCATTGTTTCTCTATTTATACTCCCAAAGGGAGATCTTGTAAACCTAACTCTTAATTCATAACTTGTACACAATATTACTATTCACCGTCTTCTTCCTCTCTCATTAGCTTAAATATCTCCATTTTATATATGTTTGGATCCCTATAATCCATCACGTATATTTATCCACTTTTAGTCATATATTGATAATTTAACACTTCTTTCATTCTTTCACAATTCAAGTAAATCAGCAAATCGCATGTCCATGACCCAAAAAGAATGTACATTGTCTATACGCCGAACGAGTCACTTTTTCTAGGTAAATATGCTAGTCTAATACTCGGGGCATGCCCCGGTAATGATGAAATAAAATAGCAAAAATCAATGGGGATTGTAAATTATTTTTTGGTCGAATTTGTTGATAATATCTTTTATGTTGAAAATAATAAGTTTAGTGATTTTTTGTGAAGAAATGAGAAAGATGATTGTAAAGAATTAATGTGTATGGTGTTATTATTTCTATTTACGTTTTTGGATGTTTTTATTTGGACCCGAATTTTCTCGTCTTGTCTAGTCTGGTCCTGTCTGGTAAATGTCTAGTCTCTATGTATTTTATAATCGTCCATGTTTGATATAGCCTAGTTTGATCTGATTTAGTCTGGTCTGGTATGATCATGGGCAGGTCTGGGACTGAAAATGGTCCAAGTAAAAACATTCTTAGACATGTTCAAATATGTATAAAAAAAGCGGAGTATATGTAAGATCCCATTTGGTGGCCATGTTTTTGGATTATCAGTCTTATCAGCCAGCTTTTTCAAGAAACACGTACTTTTTGGTTTCACGCGCTGAATTGTGAAATAATAAGAAATGGTAAGGTTGAAGTTATTTTTGTGATTGTGTTGGCTGAAGTTATTTCATACTTCTTCCGTATTTTAAAGTTTCATACACTTTCCATTTTGGGATGTATTTAAAAATTCCATACACTTTCTTTTTTTGATAAGTTTTTCTTTTAAAAATTCCAGCCGCACATTCCCACTCTCACACTTACGTTTCTTTTCTCTTTCTCGTTTTGTTACTTTAATTTAATTCTTTCATCCTCAAAACTATCAATTTTCAAATGATATTTTTAATTTAAGAACACTCGAATCTCTCAAAAAAACTACGTATTAATGATCAAATTTCCATCCTTTCAAAATCAATTAATTACTTTTTCTTTCTCTCTTACTCCTTATTGATACAATTTTTTCCTTTTTTTATTCAACTAAAATTACAAACAAAAATTAATTATTCTTTCTTCAATTTTTTTTATATCGATATACGAAGTACTTATTTGTAATTTTTCTTTTCATATTCACACTTTTTCCTATAATATATTTATTATCTTTGAAATATGTTTTTAGTGTTTATTGATAATTTCTCGAATTTGATAGTAAAGTTACATTTTCATATTCATTCTATAATGTACTTCTTATCTCTTTGAATTTTTTTTTATCTTTTTTATACATTTTTAATGTTTTAAGACGTTAAATTTTTATTTCAATTTAAATTTGATAAAACATGAGATTACATTTTCCACACGTGTGAGTGATGTTTATAGTCAATGTCTAGAGTTACACTTGATAGTATATGAAGTTACATCTTCTTGTGCGCGAGTAGTATCTTTATATGTGTGGTTACATCTTACTATGCGCGGGTTACATTTGAACTTGTCTCAACAAGCTACATTTTGCATACAACTGAGTTAGATTTTCAATCAACGCGAGTTACATTTTCTATAACACGAAAATGTTATGGAAAATAAATTCATGCTATTAAAACGTGAGTTAGATTTTACATCACAAAATAAATTCATGCTATTGAAACTAAAAAAAATATTGCAAAAAACTATTTTTTTAAAATCTTTTTTTGGCAAACAAAAATGATTTTTCTTTAATTTTTTTAAATGTGCTAAATATTAAAAACAAAACATACTCACTATTTATGTAAAATAATTGAGCAATTACATTCCTTGTTTTAATTTTTACATTTTGATAGAATATATGAAGTTATATCTTCTTACGCGTGAATTACATCTTCTTATGTGTGAGTTGCATTTTCCTATGTGTGAGTTACATTTGAACGTGTGTCAACCAGTTACATTTTGCATGTATCTAAGTTAGATTTCCATCAATGCGATTTACATTTTACATCACATGAGTTACATTAGAAAATAAATCCCTGTTAGTGAAACAAATAAAAACATTTTTTTTGCAAAACCATGATATTTTTTGGCTAAAATTGAATTTTGTGGTGAAAAAATAATTTTTAAAGAACATTTTTTTATGGTTCAATATTAAAAACAAAACATATTCAATATTTATGTAAAGTAATAATTGAACAATTAGACACTTTGTTTTCATTGTTTACTTTGAAATCAATGTTTTATTTCTTATACTTCGTATTAGATAAGTTACATTTCGGCATGCCTGCAGTTACATTGTTTATCAAGGTAGATTACAATTCTTTACACGCAAATTACATCGCCCTGCTACTGGAACAAGAAAAAAGAATAAAACAAAAAATCATTGTTCACGCGTGAATAGTACACGCGTATTTTAAGTGTGGGAGCAGCATGTCCACCGTGAGCTGCTCCCACGGCATAACAAGTGCTCAATTACCCTTACTTTTTCTACTTTGTATCCTCTCTTTCTTACTTTTTCACCTTCTCTCATGCTTTTTCTATATTATTCATTACTCCTACTATTCCCCTTAAACCTTGTGTCATAACCTAAAATATGGTTTTTAGCTATTCTTTAGAGAATAAGAGAATCTTTTTAGCTGTGATAAATAAATAATAAGATAAACTTTCAACATACTTTTTGGCTATTTTTTGCTGTATTAATAAGATAAGCTTTTTTTCATGTAACTTTTTATTTATTTTATTAATAAAAAATATTTTAATTATACTTTTTTTCATAAATCAACATAATCGGCCAATCCAACCACTTCAGGCAAAACTTAATAAATTTCAGCAAAATATGCCGATTCAGCCAATTTCATTGTTATCAAGGAGACTGTAAGTGACATTGGTAATATGTTTCTCTTTGGTGATTAGTGAATTACTCTAAATAAAATATGACTCAAATTCATTAGATTGAGATAAATGTTAATTGTGTCGGGTCACAACATTTGAATTTTGAGAATGTTGTGGTAACATTAAGAATTGGTTTTGAATCAATGTTCTCGATAAAATATATTGATAATGATTAGGTCAAACTGCAAATAAGTGATATCACTTTAGTACAAAATAAAGTATTGCGATATAAGTAATGAAATATTAATCATTTCAACTAATAGGATACATTGGAGGGTATTTTATAATTTATTAGATGAGGTTTTTTAACAGCTAAGAAAAACACTACGTGTAACAATTATCAGTTAACTAAATCTTATTTTTAATAATAATTCAAGACATGAAATATTAACTACTTTTGTTATGTAACACAACTTAATTTGTTCAAGGTATGCAACATAACTTAGGAAATTCAAAAGGCTTCTGAGCTTATAAAAATAAGACCATAAATAAATTATTTGAAAAGAAACCACAATGTGAAAATAATTAGGAGTTACTACCTCCACCCCAAAATGTAAGAAGCATATGAGTTTGGGGCTGGTTTTAAGCAAATAAAAGATAAAGACGTGGTTATACAATTCTAACCTTCCAAAAAGTAAGAAAGAGAGAAATGGATCCACAAAAGTAAAAAGATGAAATGATGTATAAAAGGATAAAGTATGAAAATAAAAAGTTAGTGGAGTACAATTTAAGAAAATGTTCATATTTTTGGGATAATTCAAAATGGAAAGTATATCTTTGAAAATGAGGACACGGAGGGAGTAATACTTTAATTTGTTTGTATAGTGGTTGATCTTGTGACAACTTTCAAATCTATGTGTACCCAAATTGAATTATGCTTAATTCGACTTTGCTTGATTAAGTGTTTATCTTTTATTTATCTTCCACTATACTCCTATCATTTACTAATTTATCTTAAGGAGCTAATCGCTCACCATAATTAACTAAAATATTTATTTTGATTTTAGGATAGGGGTTTATCATTAATATTTCATCCTTCTTTATTAATGCATATGACAGCTTCTAATCACTTTAAAATAAATATTTATGATACCCATTATGAATTAAATATTACTACATATTTAGTTTCACTATTTTATTTGAATGAATTTGTAAAAGTGATTTTGCATCACACGAGATTCCAATTGTATAAAATACCAGACTAAATCAATTCTACCTCCTTGCCCACTATTTAATTATTATTAGTTTAATTAGACATGTCCTTA